TCCACAGTCGTGGTTCCACACCACCCTAGGTCTTGCTCAGACACCCCTACCCTTCCCTCTCTAGTTTGTGTCCCCATCTGTAACCTTAAGCAAGCTGGACTTCTCTGATGAAGCCCTTTCTGTCTGAAATTCCCCACATTCCCCAGGAGCAGGCAGTTTGTCCTAAAGCTGGTTCTGTGTCCACAGGGGGAGCAGGGCGAGGATGGCAAGGCTGAGGGGCCCCCTGGGCCGCCTGGAGATCCGGTAAGCCCCCTCCCTCACCTGGGCCATGTGCCATCCTAGGTAGAACCTGAGCCTCCCGCTGCATGGAGAGGGGTGGGCTGATCAGGGGCCAGGGCTGGCATCCTCTGCACCTGGTGGCCCAAATTTTGCTGCTGTCTTTGTCATTCAGGGCCCTGTGGGTGATCGAGGAGACCGTGGGGAACCCGGGGACCCTGGATACCCAGTAAGTATCAGAGCTCCTACCTGCTGGCATGATCAGGCATGACCGGGAGAGTGGTGATGACATGAGTCTATAAAGAACTAGAACTTCCCAGGCTTCTGTGCTGCCCCCAGTTCCCTGAGGATGGGCCCCCCTCACCTGTCTCTCTCTGGCTTCCAGGGACAGGAGGGTGTGCAGGGCCTCCGTGGAAAGCCAGGCCAGCAGGGCCAACCCGTGAGTGCTGCTTCCCGTCCCATCCCTGACTCCTGCCCTGAGTGGGGTGGAGCAGTGGGAATGAAAGAACTGGGCCCTTTAAAACTTAAAGGGACCCTCCCTGCAGGAGGGTCTGGGGCAGCCATTTCTGTTTCTCCTGCCCTGACCCTGGGGATACCCCCCAGAATTTGCACCCCCAAACCCCTCCCCACCCCTCCCCCTCCAGGCGGAGACTGGCCACCCGCCCCGGGAGAGAATCCTGGGGCTGCCTTGCGTCATCTCACCTTGGTTTGCAGGGGCATCCGGGACCCCGGGGGCGGCCGGGACCCAAAGGATCAAAAGGTGCAGAGGTAAGAGGCCTGGGGCTTCAGCAGGGGAGACTGAGTCCTGGGCGGGGCGGAAGCCCGGAAGCCGGGACTTCAGCAGGGGAGACTCGAATGCAGGCTGCAGAGACTGCGAGGCAGGGCAGTGGGGGGCGGCCCACCAGGAGCTGAGAGAGCCAGCTGCTTCTGGCCATGACCCCATCTCCCTTCAGACAGCCTGAGCCAGGAGGGACGATCAGCCCCATTTCACGGGGCTCCAGGAGGGGAGCCACCTGCCTGAGGCCAACCAGAGTGACTTGAACCCAGGGCAGTCTAGAGCCAAGGCTGGCCTCTCTGTCCCCGACATCACACTATAGAGAGAAAACTGGGAGGAGTCAGTGAAGGGGGTCTGGAGGAAGAGGAGGCAGAGCCAGGGTATTCAAGGAGGAACCGTTCCTGTCCCTGGCCCAGGACCCCTGCATTCCTGAAGCCCCCAGGCTGGGCCAGTGCTCTCTTAATGCCCTTCCCTCCCCTGGGTCCACCCCCTCACCCACACTCCTCAAGGATATGTGGTCCCTAAATGATCAGATGGACCCATGGCCTCCGGTTCCTCCCAGGAAACTGCCAGTGCCCGTGAGGTGATACCAGGGCCCAGAGCAGGCTCAGTGACAACCCTGGACATTCCAAGGCTGGCCCTGGACCCAGGCTTCCAGGCCAGTGTGCTTGGGCATATCTGTGGCCTCATATGCTCACTCAGGGGCTCACGATCCTCAGTCCCTCCTTCCAGAGCTCCTAGGGTCCTGCACCTCCGCCAGGCAGCCTTCATCATGTGGCCCTTGATTTTTCAGGGACCAAAGGGAAAGCAAGGCAAGGCAGGGGCCCCAGGCCGGAGGGGTGTCCAGGTGAGTGCCTGTAGCTGTTGTTTCCACCAGCCTCCCTGCCCCTCCACACACACCCCCACTGCCCTCCACCCTGCCCCCAACACCAACTGCCCTCACCAGATTTTTATGTACCCCCAGGGCCTGCAGGGGCTGCCGGGGCCCCGGGGAGTGGTGGGAAGACAGGGCCCCGAGGGCATCGCTGGACCAGATGGGCTTCCTGGCAGGGACGGGCAAGCAGGACAGCAGGTGAATGGGGCTTTCATTAACAGATGGTGGATCCATTTGGGACCAGGCGTGGGGGAACTTCCCCAGACCATGGGCCAGGGGAGCCGGTTTAGAAACTTGGATGGGTAGAACCAACACATCCAGAAGTTTCCTTGGGGTGGGAAATCATCTGATCCCCTGGCACCTGGAAGCGTGGACCTTTGACTGTCTCTCCTGGATGCCAGCACCCAGAAAGTCCTTTCATTCCTCCCCTAACTGATGGATAAAGTTCCTATCCTGCCCCTTCCCCGCTCACAATCCCACCCCTTCCCTGCTCACAGTCCTCAGCTCCTCCTGGCCTCTTGGTCCAGTCTGGTCACACGCATGTCCGTCTGACCTTCATCCTGGAGTGTGACCCCTTCCTCCCGCTACACCCAGGGTTCACCCAGGCGTTAAGCCATCTGCTTTCTTGGCTATTTCCTGAAACACAAGAGACCCTCCTTTGCCTGCTTTCTTGACAGGGGGAGCAGGGAGACGATGGGGACCCTGGTCCCATGGGCCCTGCCGGGAAGAGAGGAAATCCAGGTGTGGCTGGCTTGCCTGGAGCACAGGGGCCCCCAGGATTCAAGGTCAGATACATCTTAATCCACTTTCACCCCTCGCCATTCCTGCTTGATGCAGAGTCTAGTGGTTCCGACTCTTCAGACACGAATGTCCCAAAGCCTGAGTGAAAATAGAGTCCACATTGTTGACCTTTCTCGGGGGTCCTGCCCCAAGCTTGAACCGGACTTAAAAGGCTAATTCATCCAGAGACCTGTAAATACCACCCCTACCAGGCCCTTGAAACATTCAAGTGGTTTTTGAGCTGTCCACGGGCACCCTCTCGTGGACATTTGTGGAACAACAACTGTTGCTTGCTGCCGGGATCCCCAAGGCATCCTTAGAAAGCTTCCCAGAGCAGGGTGGGAGGAGGGGGCCACCATGAATCCGTCAGAACCAAGGGCTGGACACTAAAGGGGAGATGTAGACGAATGATTCAGATGTGGTTCTTGCCCTCCCTGAGCTCAAAGTTTAATTGGGGAAAGGTTGGAACCCTCTGGGACATAGGAGGCAGAGGGAGAGATGGCCTTGACCCAGGGAAGATTTGAATGAGAATGGAAGGGGAAATGGTGGCCATGAGGTGACTCGGGGCTGTACTCCCAGCACTTTGGGAGGCCGAGGCAGGCGGATCACTTGAGGTCAGGAGTTCAACCCTGTCTCTACTAAAAATACAAAAATTAGCCGGGCATGGTGGTGGGCGCCTGTAGTCCCAGCTACTGGGGGGCTGAGGCAGGAGAATCACTTCAAACAGGGAGGCGGAGGTTGCAATGAGTCGAGATTACACCACTGCCTCCCAGCCTGGGTGACAGAGTGAGACTCCATCTAAAAATAAATAAATAAATAAACAAGGGGAGGAGGCATTCTAGGGGTGTGAGCTGAGGTTTGGAGGAGGAGCTGCATGCTGTGGGGACAAACACTCAGGAGGAGAGGAATTGCAGGAGAGGAGCGAGGAAGGCAGGGACGGGAATGTGGGGGAGGGAAAGAGACCTTCCTCTATGGGAGGTGAAAGTCTTGCCACCACCCCCCACCAGGCCTCCATTTGTTGCCCCAGTCTCCCGCAATCTCAGGTACCCTGTTCTGACTCTCCTAGGCCCCCTCTCCCTCCCTTTCCCCTAGACCCCCTTCCCCACTTTGACTGGTAATTTTGATGTGTTTCTTTAGGGTGAGAGTGGGTTACCTGGACAGCTGGGTCCCCATGGCAAGCGAGGGACCGAGGGCAGAACAGGGCTCCCTGGAAACCAGGGGGAGCCTGGGTCGAAAGGCCAGCCGGTGAGTGAGGCCCAGAGAATGCACGTGCCCACGCACTTACACATGCACGCACTCACACCTACACGTACAAACACATACACACACAAACACACTGACCCAGAAGCCACCTCCTTGCTCTGTGACAAGGGCTAAAATCTGGGTACAGGATACCATTCTGCCACCCCTGAGCCAGGTAGTAGGGGAGGCTGAGGAAAGAGACCCAAGTGGTCCCTTCAGAATGAGGAGAGGGTACCCATAATCAGAAGGTGGGCTCTGCTGACTCTCAGTCCAGTGCTCATTCTGTGCCTCACTGCCTTTGCTCCTCTATCCCAGAGGCTACATTCAACTTACCCCAGCCTAGAAAAAGAGGGAAGAATGAACGGAGAATAAACGGGGCACATAGGAAACACATATCAAACAGTTTTAAATACCTCAGTTAAAAACTGAGATCGTCAGACTGGGTGAAAAAGCAAGACCCAACTACATCCACTGCTACGAGAAATCCACTTTAAATATAAAGATATAAGTAGGTTAAAGATAAATATAGAAAAAGGCATACTGTGCTAACATTCATCCCAAACAGCTGGAGTAGCTGTTTTAATACCAGACAAAATGGATTTCAGAGCAAAGACTACTAACAGTAATAAAGGTCATTTCATAATGACAAGGAAGTCAACTTAACAAAATTGCATGAGAATCTTAAGTGTTTGTGCACCTAATAATAGATCTTCAAAATAATCAGGCAAAGACTGATAAAACTACAAGGAGAAATAGACAAATTCACAATTATAGTCAAGGATTTTAATGTGTTTCTCTCTTAATGGGTAGAACAGAAGTAGATAGAAAATCAGTAAGGTTGTCTTGAACTGCATTATCAACCAATGTGATCTAATTGACATTTATAGAACACTGCACCCAACATCAGCAAGATACACATTCGTTACAAGTGCATTCAGAACATTTACCAAGACAGACTATAATTTGAACCTTAAGACCAGTACATAAATTTTATTAATAAAATATTTTAGTAATGTAAATATTATAAATATTAAATAATGTATTTATTTAACAGTATAAATAAATATTTTATCAATTCATCCTTTAAAAAATTTAAAAGGATTCAAATCACATGAAGAATGTTCTCTTACCATAATTAAATTAAACTATAAATCAATAACAGAGATTTATTTGTTATTTATTTGGAAACTAAATAACAAATGTCTAAATGACTCATGGGTCAAAGAAGAAATCAAAAGGGAGTTAACATTCTGAATTGAATGAAAGTAAAAAGCAGCATATAAAAATCGGTGAAATGCTGTTGATGTAATATTTAGGGAGATCTTTATAGTAATATAAAGATCTTTGTGTTAGAAAAGAAGAAAGGTCTCAAGCAAATGGTCTCAGATTTCATCTTAAGAAATTGGGGGTTGGGGCTGGAGAAGGCAAATTTAAAACAAAGTAAGCAGAAGGAAGGAAATAATGAAGATAAACAAACAAACAAACAAAAATGGAAAATCAAAAGTTTTTTGAGACCTGTAAAACTGATAAACCTCTTGCCAGACTAATCAGGAAACAAAAAAAAAGAGAGAGAATCCACAAGTTACTAGTATCAGGGATAGGGGAGCAATGTCGCTACAGATATGACAGAGATTAAAAGGATAATAAGAGAATGATAACTTTATGTCAATAAATTTAAAGACCTAGATGAAATGGACAAATTCCTTGAAAGACAAAATGATCAAAGGTCACTCAAGAAGAGACTGATTACCTAAATAGCCTTGTATCTATTAAAGAGATTGAATCTGCAGTTAAAGAGCTTCCCACAAAGCAAATTCTGGGCTTAGATGGCTTCACTGGTCAATGCTAATAAACATTACAAAAGAAATAATATCAATTCTACATAGACTCTTCCAGAACATTGAAGAGAAGAATGAATACCAACTCTTTACTTGAAGCTGATATTACCCTGATGTCAAAGCCAGACATTACAAGAAAAGGAAATTACAGATTAATATGCCTCATAAATATAGCTACCACAATTCTCAATAAAATTTTAGTTAGATGAACCTAAGAATATATATTAAGGATAATACATCAAGACCAAGTGGGGTTTATCTTAGGAATGCAAGGATGGTATGACATTTGAAAATAAATCAATATAATTCACTATATTAACAAACTCAAAAAGAAAATCCATTTGATCACCTCAGTAGTTGCAGGAAAAGCATTTAACAAAAATCTAACTCTGCTTCTGAATAAAAACTCACAAGAAACTAGGTATAGAAGTTCCTCAACTTGATAAAGTACATCCATGGAAAACTTAGTCAACATCATACTTAACAGTGATTGACTGAATGCTTTTTTCCAAGGAGCAGATCAGAAACAAGTCAAGGATATCCATTCTCATCACTTCTATTCAACATTGTACTGGCAATTCTAGCCAGTGCAATAAGGCAAGAAAAACAAATAAGAGGCATTCATATCATAAAGGAAGAATTAAAACTTTTCATTTGTAAAAGAAACAATTGTCTATGTAGAAGATCCATTGGCATCTGCAATAAAGCTACTAGAATAAGTGAGTTTAACAAGATCACAGGACACCAGATCAATATGCACAAATGTGATTGTATATACTAGTCAGTATGCATAAATGAATCACATTTCTATTCACTAATCAATGTACACCAATAAATTGCTTTTCTGTACACTAGCAACAAGCAATTAGAAATGGAAATCTAAAAAGCAACACTTTATAATAGCATAAAATACTATTAGAGATACATTGACATTAGATGTGTAACATATATACACTGAAAACTATAGAACACTGGTAAGAGAAATTGAGGAAGACTTAAATAAATGGAGATATATACTATGTGTATGTGTTAAAAGACTCAATATTAATATGTCAGATTTCTTCAAAATTGTCTATAGATTCAGCACAATTTCAACTAAATCTTATCAGGTTTTCATGTAGAAAATTACAAGCTAATCCTAATGATACATATGAGATATAAAGGACCTAGAATAACTGAAACAACATTGAAAGAGAAGAGCAAAGTTGACAGACTAATGGCACTTGATTTCAAGACTTATTACAACTCTGCAGTCATCAAGAAATTGTGGTATTGCCATAAACGCACTAACAGATCAAAGGAACAGAATAAAAGGTCCAGGAATATGCCACACATATATGGACAACTGATCTTTAACAAAAGTGTGAAGACAATTCAGCAAATACAAAATAGTCTTACCTAACAAGTGGTGCCAGACACGTGATGCCTCATAACATGTACAAAAATTAACTCAACCTGGATCATACACCTACGTGTAAAACCGAAAAGGAAAATGCTTCTACAACATAGAAGGACATCTTCAAGAACTTGGCTAAAACAAAGATTCTTAGATATGATACCAAAAGCATGACCCATTAAAAAAACGTGACAAATCAGACCTGATCAACATTTAAAATTTTGCTCTTCAAAGGACACTATTAAGACAAGGAAAAGACAAGCCACATGGTGGGATAAAATATTTCTAAATCGTATATCTGATTAAGGATTTGTATCCAGAACCTATAAAGAGCTCTCAAAACTCAATAATAAAAATAAACAGCCCAGTTTTTAAAAATGGGCAGAGGATTTTAATAGACACTTCAAAGAAAATATACCAATAGCAAATAAGCACATGAGAAAAAGATTCAGATCATTAGTCATTAGACAAATGCTCATTAAAACCACAATAAGATGCTATTGCACACCTATTAGAATAGTGAAGAGCTTTAAAAGACTAACCACACCAAGTTTTGGTGAAGACATGGAGCAATTGAAACTTTCACACTCTGATAATGGAAATTTACAGTGGTACAACCACTATGAAATCAGTTGGGCAGCGTCTTTAAAAGTTAAGCATATCCCTACTGTATAATCCAATCATTCCATTCATAGTTATTTACCCTACATAAATAAGGATGTTCAGCCATACAAAGACTATACTAGAAGGTGCCTGGCAGCTTTATTTATGATAGCCCAAATTGAAAAAAAAAACAAACTCAAATGTATATCAGCAGGTGAATAAAGTGTAGTATGTTTATACAATGAAATACTATTTATCAGTAAATGGATTGAACTATTGATATACACAACAACATGGATGATTCTCAAGATAATTAGGCTGAGTGAAAGAACTCAGATAAAAACTAGTGTATACTGTGTGGTTTCATTTTTATAAAATTATAGAAAATGCAAACTGTTCTGCATTGAAAGAAAATAGATCAGTGGTTCCTGGAGATGGGAGGGTAAGGCGGGAAAGAGAGACTACAAAAGCGTGTGAGGAAACTTTCTCTTGGTTTTCATGACAGTTACATGGATGAACACAGATATGTCAGAATGAATCAGATTGTACAATTTAAATAGTACAGTTGTTTATCTTCAGTTTTACTTTAGTAAGACTGTTCTTTAAATCACCCCTTCTTTGCACCTGTTGGGTACATAGGAGACAGCGATCAGAGTGCAAAAATGAACAGGTAGGACATCTCACAACTGGCTCTGTGAAGCCAGTGTTATCCTGATACCCCAACCAGAGAAAGACATCACAAGAAAGAAACCAACAGACAAATAAGCCTTGTGAATGCAGACACAAAAATCCTTAATAAAATATTAGATAACTGAATTCAGCGATATGCCTAAAGGATTCTTCTATACCATGACAAAGTAAGATTTATCCTGGAAATGCAAAGCTGGTTCAACATTTGGAAATCAGTGTAATACATCATATTAATAAAATAAAGACAAACATTATACAGTCATCTTAATAGATGCAGAAAAAGCATTTGACAAAATTCAACACCCTTTGATGATAAAAACAGCAACAATAACACAACCTGGGAACAGAAGGGAACATCCTCAACCTGATAAAAAATATCTATGAAAATTCCACAGGTATCATCATAGTTAACGGTAGAAGACGGAACACTTCCCTCAAGATCAGAAACAAGCCAAGGATGTTTATTGTTACCACTTCTATTCAATATTGAACTGAAATAGATTTGAGAGGAAGAAGTAACACTATCTCTGTTCACAAAGGACATGATCTTGTATATGGAAAACAGTAAAAGATCCACAAAACAAAATTATTACAACTAATAAACCAAAGTTGCAGGATATAAGATCAATATACAAAAATACCATTTGTATATACAACATAAAAACATCAATTATATTTCTATATACTAACAATGAACAATTCAAAAATGAAATTAAAAAACATTTTCGTTTATAATAGCATCAAATAAAATAGGAATAAATCTAATAAAAGAAGGGCAAGAAGCTGGGCGTGGTGGTATGTGCCTATAGCCCTAGCTACTGAGGAGGCTGAAATGGGAGAATCTCTTGAGCCCAGGAGTTCAAGTCCAGCCTGGGCAACATCTCAAGACCCTATCTTAAAAAAAACAAGTGCAGGATGTGTTCACTGAAAAATTCAAAATGTTGATTAAATTTTATAAATAAATAAACAAATGGAAAGACATCCCATATTCATCGATCAGAAGACTTAGCATGGTTAAGATAGCTGTACTTACTACAAATGAAGCTACAGATGAAATATAATCCCCATCAAAATCCAAGTTGAGTTTTTAACAAAATCTGACAAATTGATCCTAAAATTCATATGGAAATGCAAATGGCCCAGAATAACCAAAATTTTGATCTTTAAACAAGATTAAAGTTGGACAATTCACACTTCCCAATTACTAATGAAAACAAATAAACCCTTACATTTATGTCCATTGATTTTTAACAAGAGTGCTAGGACAATTGGATGGGAGAAGAATTTTTTTCAAATAAACAGTGCTAAGACAATCACACAATCACATATCCACATACCAAAGAAGTAAGTTGGACCCCTGCTTCATACCACAGGCAAAAATTAACTACAAATGCATTATAGACCAAAATGTAAAGGCTAAAACTGTATGCATCGTAGGAGAAAACAAAAAACAAATCTTTATAACCTTGTATTAGGCAATAGTTCCTTAAATGTGACACCAAAAGCACAAGCAAAAAAAGAAAAATAGATAGATTGGACTTCCTCAAAATCAAAAACTTCTGTGCTTCAGAAGGTACCATTAAGAAAGTGAAAAATCGAACAGTATGGAAGAAAATATTTACAAGTTATACACAAGGAATGTGTATTTCTAATATATAAAGAACCCTTACAACTCAAGAATAAGAAGACAATCCAAATTTAAAATGGACCAAGTATTCAAGTAGACATTTTTTCCAAAGGAGATACACAAATATCCAACAAGCATTCATAAGACAAATCAGAACCATCAAGAGAATCACCAGCAGCTCAATAAAGCTATTATCTTTTAAAACTGAACAGAATTTAGATTACATGGAACCCTTCTGAAGCCTGACGCCTCAGCCTACCTGCATCCACACCGGGTCTTGAATTGCATCCTTCCAGCCCTTTTGGGAGCGAGATGACATATTATCCTATTTTACAGATGAGGAAACAGGCTCAGTAGAGGGAATTGGCTTGCTACTGGTCTTAAAATATTAGGCTAGGAGATTCTAACTACTTATGTCTTTCTGCTCATGAGCTTGAAGGCCAGGCCCCAAGAATGCGCAATAATGGCAGGCATCTCTGTCCCCAGGGACCCCCAGCTCTCCCTTCTTGGCACAGGCCCCAGCATTCCCCCCTTGCCGATTGCTCTCTTAACCTCTTGGAAGATTGGGAGCAGGAGTCAGGAGAGGAGGCCGAAGGTCCCTGGAATTGTTCACCCTGGGTCTGAATCTAGCACAGTCCATGACATGGTGTCTGTGTGACTTTCAGCAAGTTCCTGACCTTTCTGAGCCTCAGTTTCCTCATCTGTGAACAGGGGACATGGTGTGTCCCTGGGAGCATGCAGGTGTGGTGGTACATAGTAGGCCTTCAGTGAATGGGGTTATTTTTAGGGGATCATTCCTTAACAGAGCATTTCCAACCCATGGGAGGCGGCTGCGGGACCTTTTATTCTGTCCCTCGAAGACTTGGGACAGGAGCTCCGGAGTGTTGCAGAGCCTCCCCTGCGGAATCCTGAGCCAGGCTCTGCTCTCTCATCTGATGGAGAGCACAGGCTCCCCTTGGAGCCCAGGAGGACTGGCATCTAGCCCAGGAGGACTGTCCACACTCACTTGATCACCCTGGACAGGCCGGGAGGGAAAAGGCAGGCCCTGAGGACCTGGGTGACCGGCGGGACATGCTGGTTGTGACCTCACTCACTCCGTCACTTCCTGTTCTCCCCGCAGGGCGACTCCGGCGAGATGGGCTTCCCAGGAATGGCAGGTCTCTTCGGACCCAAGGTATGGACTCCCACTGCTCACCATTCCTCTGGGGTCCCATCCATTCACCCCATTCATTCATTTATTCATTCAGCAAATAGTTATGGGGCACTTAAAACATTGGCTGAAATACCCAATCTGGAACCAGAATCAGGCATGAACACCCTCATCCCCTGGTACCTACTCCAGCAGACCTAGGTTCCAAGCTCAGCTACACAATTACCTACTCTGCCTCGGGCAAGTCATTTAGTCTCTTTAAGCCTTGGTTTCCTCATCTGTAAAATGGGAGCAATGATAGTAGAAGACTGTTGCAAAAATAAAGACCAGAGGCAGACGCCACACAGCACTGAGCCAGCCTACTGCTGGCACCTGCTGAATAATTACTGTGGGTGTTTCTTACTCCTTCTGGGGCCTCTCAGGTAAGGCCTCTCTTGACAGGGAGGGTGAAGGTTGGCAGACCCCAGGGGTGAGAGAGCTGCAGGGGCCCTTTACCCAGCAACTGTCAAGTACAGATAGCCCTTTCTCTGCCTCCCACAGGGCCCCCCTGGAGACATCGGCTTCAAAGGCATCCAGGGCCCTCGGGGGCCACCTGGCTTGATGGTGAGTCCCCTGCCTGCTGTCACAGCAGGGATGGTCGTTCTAGGCTCAAGGTTGGCCGGCCATCAGCTGGCTGGGCACCTGTCTTCATCCTCCCCTTGCTCCTTGACTCTTGAGCCCTCTCTGCCCACAGGCTTGGTTCCCACCTTCACACCACTCCTGCCATTCCTGCCAGCTCAGCTGCCATACTTCCCTCCTTCCACTCTTCCTCCCCTTGCCCCACTCTTGAAGCCCACCCCTAGGCACACAGGAGAGGGTTGGGAGATGCATAGCCTGGGCCTACCTCAGACGATCTCCCTTCCACTCCCTTGGACACTCAGGCTGCCCTCCACCCTCGTCTCCATGCCTCCGTTCCCCAGGCCCTGGGACAAGGACACATGAGCCTTTCTCTCTCCTTCAGGGAAAGGAAGGCATCATCGGGCCCCTTGGAATCCTGGGACCTTCGGGACTCCCGGTATGTGCGAGTGTTGGGCAGGAAGAATCCTGGGTCCCTTTGCTTTCCTGGCTCTAGATTGTCTCTGTGACTCAGTGCCAGTCTAACCCTCAGTTTCCCCATCTGGAAATGGGAATTCCCCTCTGGGCCCGTCTCACTGGGCTGTGATTTGTTGCAGGGTCCGAAGGGTGACAAAGGCAGCCGTGGGGACTGGGTAAGTGGATGGGCTGGGGCTGAGGGATGCAACGCTGCAGGGATGGGGGAGGGGTGGGCTCACAGGGTGGGGCCAGGGCTCAGCCAGGTTCCCTAACTCTCTCCCCTGCTTCTGTCTCCCTCCAGGGATTGCAAGGTCCGAGGGTGAGTGGGCTGGGCGTGGGCTGTGGGGCAGGGTGTGGGGTGAGCATCCTGGGTTCACCCGGTGGCACATGGTCTCCCTCTGGACCTCCATCATCCGTCTGTGCGAGAGGAACCATTGTCCCTGAGTCTCAGGTCTGCCTAAGGAGGGACTGGGATGGGGAGAGATGAAGACCCTGTGGACCAGAGCTCACTCTTCTTCTCCTGTTCCCCCAGGGTCCTCCCGGCCCCAGAGGGCGGCCCGGCCCTCCGGTAGGTAACTGAGTGCTGGGTGCATCTTGGACTCCTGGGGGCAGGAGGGGGGTTCCTTTGAAGGAGACTCAAGGTTTTGTCAGCAGACTAAGCCTTGACCCTGAACCTCACAGGGCTCACATGCTTCTTGTAGCCCACAGACTCCTAGGAGTGTATAGGACAGCCCCGAACTTTCACCTTTGCCAACATGGGGTAACACCTAGGGGCCAGGCCTCCAGAAAAGTATAGACCAGCCCAGTGGGGCCTGCCAGGCCTCCAGGAGAGCAGAGGGTAGCTTGGTGGGTCCTCCATGCTTTGATGGCCTCCCCAGTCTCCTGATACCCTCCCAGATTCCAGCACACTGTCCCCATCATTTAACTGACCTGCTGTCTTCTTTTACAGGGTCCTCCAGGGCGTCCTATCCAATTTGTAAGTTGGAAACATTCTCTTTTGCCTACCTGGGGAAGGCCTAAAGGGTTCAGGGGAAGAGGCTGCTGGCCCTCTCTGGCCCCGGTGCCTAGAGCCGTAACCTGGGCCTAGGGATGCCCATGTCCTTTTGTCACTTCATACTGGAGACTTGGACCTGGAAGCAACAGAAAGAGCCCTGGGCCAGGAGGCAGGAAACCTGTTTTTGATGTGCCGCTGACTGAATTAAGGAAGATGCTTTGGTCACTGGGATCATGGTCCTATCTGTATACTCTACATACATGGGCTGATTGCAAGAGTCCTTACATCTCAGATTCTGAATCCAAAGAGAGTTGGGGCTGGGCGTGGTAGCTCCTGCCTGTAATCCCAGCACTTTGGGAGGCCAAGGTGGGCGGATCACCTGAGGTCAGTAGTTTGAGACCAGCCTGGCCAACATGGCAAAACCCCATCTCTACTAAAAATATGCCAGGCGTGGTAGGTAGCACCTGTAATCCTAGCTACAGGGGAGGCTTAGGTAGGAGAATCGCTTGAAGCCGGGAGGTGGAGGCTGCAGTGAGCCGAGATCACGCCACTGCACTCCAGCCTGGGCAACAGAGCAAGACTGTCTCAAAAAGAAACAAAAAACAAAAAAAGTCAGGCCGGGGACAGATTGGGGGCCCTGCCTTCCTCCCTGGTGGCCGCTGTGGCCCTGTCCGAGAGCATGACTCCTCCCAAGCCCTGTGACCAGTCCATCCCCATTTTACTATTGCATGGTGGCTGGACAACTATTGCCATCAGGCCCCCACAGCGTCCCAGGGAGTAGCCTCGAGGAGAGACTGAATGCAGCAGGAGCCCTCGGGCCAGGCATCACTCAGAACCTCTGCTCTCCTCCTGTCTGCTCTCATTGCCCCTCCCTCTGCACCGTCCTCAAAGACAGAGTAACAGCCCTGGCCTCTGTTCTGCAGCCTTCACTTGTCCTTCTCATCAGTAAGAAAGAAAGGTAAAGGAAAGGGAAAAGATCCAGGAAACAGAAAATTAGAGGATTTTGGATTTTTGGAGTAATCACTAATACTGATTGAGTACTTGTTCAGTGCTAAGGTGCTTTCCTTTCCTGTTTTTTTTTTGAGATGCAGTCTTGCTCTTTCACCCAGGCTGTAGTGCAGTGGTACAATCTTATCTCACTGCAACCTCCTCCTCCCAGGTTCAAGCGATTCTCCTGCCTCAGCCTCCCCAGTAGCTGGTATTATAGCCGCACACCACTACGCCCAGATAATTTTTGTATTTTAGTAGAGAAGGGCTTTCGCTGTGATGGCCAGGCTGGTCTTGAACTCCTGACCTCAAGTGATCCTCCCGCCTCGGCCTCCCAAAGTGCTGGGATTACAGGTGTGAGCCACTGCACCTGGGCTACGGGTGCTTTCCATGAGTTCCTTTCAGCAGGTCTTGTGAGAGAGTTGTATTATCAGGTCCATTTTCAAGATGAAAAAACTGAAGAAAGGAGTTAAGCAGCTTTCCGCAGATGATGCAGTTAGCAAGTAGCAGGTCTGGGGCTTGACCCTGAGGAGCAGCCCTAGAGTCCGGGTTCCAGGCCCCAGGCCTGGGCTGTTGCTGTTTCATGGCAAGACCACAGCCATGCCTCTGTCAAGCCCGGTGCTAGGGCTGAGGGTAGAAAGTTACATTAGACCATTATAGTGTAAGCCAAAGGGGAAACAAGGAGACTGAGGGCATAGAGAAAGGGGGCCTCCCTCTTCTTAGCCTGGAGTCGGAAGCCTCCGGAGAGGCTTCCCATCACAACTGACATCTATAGGATGAGTCTAGGGCAGGTTTTCTGAGACACAGTGCAGCTGACATTTGCATAACTCTTTGTGGTGAGTGACAGTCCAAGAGGATGTTTAACAAAATTCCTGGCCTCTAACCATGAGATGCAAGTAGTGCCCTCTCCCCGAGCTTGAACAACCAAACTGTCTCCAGATATTGCCAAATATCCCCTGGGGGTCATCGTCACCGCTGCTTTAGAACCACTGGTGTAGAAGATAGCCAGATGGTGCATGGGAGGGAGGGACACGTCCCCCAGGCAATGAGAACAGCATGCACAAAGGCCCCACAGCCAGACAGAGCGTGGCATTGAGGAACTTAGAAGTACTATAGTGTGGCTGGAGCCAGAGCACATATCGGGGAGAGGAAAGAGACATGACTCAATATCACAGGGTTCAGACTGGGTCTTATAACCATGTTGAGAAGTTTGAACTTAATCCTGAGGGCAATGGGGAGCTGTCAGAGTACCTGGGGAAAGGGAAAGGCAGGGTCAGCTGTGACTGCAAAGGGAGGAGGGAGAGAGAGTTCTGCAGAGGCCATATGACTTGACCAAGATCTTGCCAGGGAATGTGGCCCCGGGGCTACACTTGATGGGTGTAGAGAACCCTGGGGGGCAGGATACATACCCTGTCTTTTCCCTGCACAGCAACAAGACGACCTTGGGGCAGCTTTCCAGACGTGGATGGACACCAACGGAGCACTCAGACCAGAGGTAGGAGCTCTCCCCACGTGGGGTCCCTTCCTGGGAGAAACACAAATAAATAATGGACCACGTGTGGTCACTGCCCTCTGTGTGGCCTGTGTGGAGCATTTCAGAGTCCTGGTGTTGGTGGCATTTTGCATCCACAAATGGGGGTTGGTACGGAGGCTCAGAATGGTCAGTGAGTCCAAGGTCTCATGGCTGGAAACAGGCCCTGAGCCCTTGAGCTTTCTCTGGAGGCCTCTCAGCATCTCTGAGCTCTTGCTGGCTGGAGTCAGGGCGAGAAGCTTGCCTGGGCCCAGCACCCACAGCAGCTTCCCAGAAATCACCCCAACGTTTCTCCAGAAGCAAGAAGCTCATGGTTAGCCCACGGGGCTCTGCTAAGACCCTGGCCTGTGGTCGACTCAGCTCCAAGACTCCAGGCTGAGAAGGGACCCCCGTGTCCTCTAGTTCAGCCTCTGTTAGGAGCCCTCTTTGCAGCCTGGCCTCCTTTGCATGACGGGGAACTCACTGCCCCCAGCTCAGATCTCCTACAAACATTTCTGTTTGTTCTCTGTGCTGGATGCTGAGACAGATAGTGCCCAGTCACAGCCTTGACTTTCTCAGGACTCACAGTCTAGGGTGGAGGAGAGCATGGATAAGCCTCTTACCGTCTGTCTGGGGAGGTCAGTGGAAAGAGAGAGGGACACCCAGGATGCAGTGCGGCTGGAGAAGGGAAGCATTTCCTTCCGCCTCTAGAGGCCAGTGATGCTGCATCCCGGGAGAGCACTGACCGGCAACACCCTTAACATTATTAAGGAAAGCGGCTCCATGTATCAAGCACCTCCTCCCCACTCTGCACTGGCAGTGGAGTTGAGGTTTATTTCTCGTGCACATGAAAGTTAATTGGCTTGTTGATGAGAGACCTTGGCTACCTGCCAGGGGTTTTGCCCTCTTCCTCTCCCACATATGGCCCCCAAAGTTACTCCACACCAGGGGGAGGCACCACAGGGGGAAGAGAGTGTAGATTGTACAGGAGGGTCTCTGGGCCAGGCCGCTATGGGGTTGGCAACGCTCCACTTCCATCCCATTGGCTAAAGCACAAAAGAGGCTGGGAATGTAGTCTGTCCAGGCAGAAGAAATGGATCGGGTGAGCGGCTGCCTGTCTCTGACACATGTACATACACTCACACACATGCACACACATGCACACGCGCGCATGCATGCACACACGTGACCTCTTCCACCCCCAGAGGAAGGAGGGTTTCTTTAGCTCTGATTTGTAACTCTGGAAGCTGAGGCTTAAGAGGCGTGCAGGAGGAGTCTGGCCAGGGTGACCCTGAATGTTCCACTCTTTAGCACTCTGTGGTCCCCTCCTGCCCCCTAGTGGAGATCTACTCCTTCTCTGAGCTCAAGTCCGCCTCCCCGCACTGGTGCCTGCTGGCCCCAGTTCCGTCTCCTGGTGCCTTACAGAGGCCCGTGGGAGCCCAGTGGGGGCTGGGTGCCCCCCAAGTCATCTCCTCCCTGCACCTTCCCTTCCTCCAGACTCTTTGCAGGTAGAGATAGGGGGATGCTGCCGAGTGTCCCAGGCACCCTCACCTGCCTTATTCACAGGGTTCTGCCTGTCCCATGTCAGAGAACATGGTCTGATCCTGAGCTCTTTTCAAGCCTCTGGGCCATCGTGACAGCCCTTCCTCCTGCACCTTGTCCCTGGTCCCAGTTTTCTCTCTGCAAAATAGAGAGAAATTCAACCCCTGCTCCAGCCAAGACCCGTGGATCTGAGATATCTCCCAGATCATGAGAACCTGGGGCTGTGGAGGCTTGGACCCCAAGCTGGACCAGGACCCTCAGGTCCCAATGGCCACCCTCTCCTCATGACAGGGTTATAGCTATCCAGACCGGCTGGTGCTGGACCAGGGAGGAGAGATCTTTAAAACCTTACACTACCTCAGCAACCTCATCCAGAGCATTAAGACGCCCCTGGGCACCAAAGAGAACCCCGCCCGGGTCTGCAGGGACCTCATGGACTGTGAGCAGAAGATGGTGGATGGTGAGAAGGCTTCCTGCCTGGGGTGGGGGCGCTGGGCATCAGTGAGCTGGGGGCAGGGGGAATATTGATTTTTGGCTCATTTTGGCTGAGTTTTTGTCCTCAGCAAGACAGATGCATGGGCAGTCATTTATTCACTCAACAATCACTGAGCCTCACAGTATATCAAACTTTGTGCTTCCTGGGGTGTGGGGAATGCAGAGAAGAGGTCCCACACTTCCAGAGCCCATAGATCAACATGCTGGGGACCATTTCAGTGCAAAGAGGCAAGAGTTTTGGCAGAAAAGAGCCCCTGAGGCTGCAGGAGTCCCTGCCCCCAGCGGTCCGTCATGTCGCAGGTTCCTGGGTAAGCCAGGATTTTCCCCCTTTCTGAGAGCGAGGACTCTGCTCTCTCATCTGTGAGCTGATGTGATGTGAAGGATGAGCTGTGGAGGCAGACAGACCTGAGTTCCAAGGTCAGCCCTGCCTCAAACTTGCTCTGTGAGCCGGGGCAAGCCATGGCCCTATCCCGAGCCGCCCTTACCTCCTCTGCACAGGCAGCTGGGACCAGATGGCTGGTTGTCCGCTCCTTTTTATTTTAGACAGAGTCTCGCTCTGTTGCCAAGCTGGAGTGGAGTGCCGCAATCTCAGCTCACTGCAACCTCTGCCTCCCGGGTTCAAGCAATTCTCCTGCCTCAGCCTCGGGAGTAGCTGGGATTACAGATGCAGGCCAACATGCCCAGCTAATTTCTGTATATTTAGTAGAGAAGGGGCTTCATATTGGCCCACATGGTCTTGATCTCTTGATCTCTGCCTGCCTCAGCCTCGCAAAGTGCTAAGATTACAGGCATGTGCCACCGTGCCTGGCCAGTTGTCCCACTCTTGAGCTGCAAAGGCTTTGGCTTCCTGAGAATCCCAGTGGGGAAACCAGATGTAAGCAGCAGTGCTGGCTGATGGGGTGGGAGCCCTGACTCCCGTTCTTCCCTGGCAGACCCTAGGAGGAGTCCCAGGCATTGAAGAATCCATTCAACTAGATGATTCCCCAATCCCATGTGCAAGTGGCCCAGCCTCTCTCAATATCAGTTGTCCTTGATGCAACCTCCTCCTCCCAGGTTCAAGCGATTCTCTTGCCTCAGCCTCCCCAGTAGTTGGTATTATAGCCGCACACCACTACGCCCAGATAATTTTTGTATTTTAATAGAGAGGGGCTTTCACTGTGATGGCCAGGCTGGTCTTGAACTCCTGACCTCTTCTCCTCTGTGAAATGGACACATCCCAGTAGCAACACAGGGAAGTACATAGCCATGTGGCCCCCGCTCTGGATGTTCTACCAGCTGTGAGCTTTGCCCAGAAGGTGTCCTTCCATCTCTTGGCTCATAGAATTCCTCTTCTGCCCACTTACCCTGACTTCATGCTCATCTGGAGCTCGGCAGGTCATGAGATACAGGGTCCATCTTGGGCTCTTCCCCAGATACATCCATCACCTCCTCCCACACTGCCCGCAGGTACCTACTGGGTGGATCCAAACCTTGGCTGCTCGTCTGACACCATCGAAGTCTCCTGCAACTTCACGCACGGTGGACAGACGTGTCTCAAGCCCATCACGGCCTCCAAGGTACCCATCAGCTCCCACTTTATCCCCAGCTTGCCCTGGCCCACAACCAACCCAGCTTCTGTTCTGAGCTGTGCCTATCTGACTGTGTGGCCTTGAGAAAGTCACCTCCTCCTTCCAAGACTGTTTCCTTATCTATAAATTGGGAGTGAGTTGAACTAATGTGTTCCAGACCCTTTGGAGTTGTATGATGCTGATGATTCTTCCTTCACGTAGAATCTTCTGCCTAATGTCTAAAGCAGAGCAGTTGGCCAAGCTGGCCTGGCTTGGGGAACCATGACTCATCAGCATGAAATAAAAGGGAAAACGAGTGTGATGCTCATCTGAAGCATGTTGCATGAATTGTGTATGCAGATACTTAAGTCGGGTTCAGTGCCAGAGTACTGCATGCCTGTTTCTGGGCTGAGCATTTTAGATGGTACAGGGCCACTCAACAACGAACCGAGGCAGGTGGCAGCAGTGGAATGTGGCAGGGATCCTCAGTGGATCGTGGGTCTGTAGTTCCATTAAGCCTTCGGAATTTGGGGGCAGTTCATGCCACAGCAAGAAGCTGCTCTGTCTGCAGGGGAGGGGAACTGTCCCATTTCATCCCCACACCCCTTGGGGAGGCTCTGGGAGATGCCCTGTACTGACTGGGTCAGACTGGCAGTTTGAGGATCTCTAGGTGAGGCAGCCAGCCAGTCACCAGGTCTTTGGTGGGTCCCTATCATGTGCCAGGCCCTGAGCCAGGACAGGGAGGTCAGAATCGCCACTGCCCCTGCAGCCAGAGCTCACAATCCAACAGGGACTTGGTGACATCCACAGGCTCTCTTCCCTGGTGACTCAAACGTTTGGGGGTCACGCAGCAAACCTGCCTGGCAGATGGGTGAGGCTGGAGTTGGTGCCTGGAATGGTGGCATGAGTGCCCAACTGGGTCACCTTCCACATCAGAAACAATGGCAGGGCGAGCCTGTGCTCTGTGTGGGAAAGCGCTGGAGCCACCAATCCTGTCCCGTCGTTTGTTCTCGGGTCTGCCATTTCCAGCAGCACCCCACACAACCTCCCAGGGATCTTGGACTTAGGAAGGGTCTAGAAAGCACCTCTCATTTCCTCTGCACTCCATGAGCCTCTCAATCTTGGGCAAAACCCTCTTCCTCGCTGGGCCCCTGGATCCTAGCTCAGCCCCAAAGACCACCCATACAGTGGGGGAATGGATTGCATGACATCAGGACCCTCGAAGCTCTGGCTCTGAGTCAGGCAGGCCCTCTCTGCTTACACAGCCAAGAACCTGTGACACCAGCTCACGCAGACCTCAGTTTCCCTGTATCAAGTGGGCGTATGTCTGGGAGCATTGTCAGGAAAGGGCCCATCCCTGTTCCCTCCATAGAGAGGCAGGGAATTCTCAGGCGAGGGTGCTGCCCAGCCTGAGCTGACTCACTGCTGTGGCTTCCCCACAGGTCGAGTTTGCCATCAGCCGGGTCCAGATGAATTTCCTGCACCTGCTAAGCTCCGAGGTGACCCAGCACATCACCATCCACTGCCTTAACATGACTGTGTGGCAGGAGGGCACTGGGCAGACCCCAGCCAAGCAGGCTGTGCGCTTCCGGGCCTGGAATGGACAGATTTTTGAGGCTGGGGGTCAGTTCCGGCCTGAGGTGTCCATGGATGGCTGCAAGGTAACTCTCAGAGCCCCTCCTAGGCTCTGTCCCCTCATATGGGGACAACTGGAAAAAAATTGTTTGGAAAAATGTGTTTCTTTTATAAGGTTATATCTAACATTTTTATACTGTAATATATTAATGTGACAGATATAATTTTATCTTTGTGTAATATTATTAGAACAGTTTTCTAAAATTGTTTTTACTCACTTTCCTTTAGGGGAAGCCCTGAGGGAAGGTCTGTACTGGCAAAAATTCTTCAGGCTGGTAGATGCTGTACTTATTTGTCAGGCTCTTTCAAAGAAGAGATATTTCCTCTCCCTGCTCCCACCCTGGTCAGGCTAGTTTCTTCCCATTATATTTTTTGGTCATTTTCAAATGCCCTGAATGGGATAGGTTGTCAGGGGAGGGGAAGACAGAAAGTTGAGAAAAGGCAGCAGTCAATTTCGTAAGATGAAACAAAACTGAG